TAATTGGGTCAACGAAATAATTTGATTGATTATAATAATTTTTCCCACCCTCCTTTCAAACCAAATAGACCATAAGGGTTGCATTCATTGGTAAAAACCTTTAAAGGTTGTCGAGGGATGAATTTGTATGGTCTTGAAATTGATGACATGTGTGGTTCCACATTAGCAAGGGCCTGCATAACTTATTTGCCACATCAGACCTGTCGTTCTTATTTTCTACTAATTACTGCAACAAAGTCAACATCGTCAGAAATAGCATCTATATACTTCGTTGGGAACATTGCAAAATGTGGCCCACTCCAGCATCTTTATATACATGGTTGGACATGGCCATATCTATTTCCATGACATAGCTGGACGTTTCTGACGATCATGTCCCTTGTAGCGATATTCATTGCTAGCTCATGTGGCTTCTAGCAATGGACAAAGGGCCAGATTCGTTATCTTATTTAGCGTCTAGCAATGGGTATAAGGCTACATATCTTTGCATATCTCCATCACATTGGCTCCCAACAACGGACAAAGAATCAAATTTCTACATATTTTATCTCACTAGCTCTTGAAAACAGACAAAGAGTCAGTGCAACTTGGGACGATTAGCGTGAGACCGGTAATAGTTACAACCTTGCAATTGGATGGGATGGTTACCCTCCAACGATAAAAATCCATCAAATAACGACCGATGATCCCTTGGTGGTAGCCCATACATGGTGGTGTGGTTCCTGGAGGGCAACAACAACTAGAACCACCCTCTGACGATGCAGGTACGGTAAGAAGGGCCAACGCTTGTCAGTGGTATCACACCTTGTCATATTGGAGGCCATGGATGCAGTTGGTGTCCTCCTTCCATGGAGACAACTCCACCTCTTTCTTTATCACATCCATCGCTATGGTGGAGTCTGGTTTGGTGAGATTTACCCTTTCACGACTTGGTAAACTAGTGGGGGTGCTCTTTCGATTCCACATAGTTCACACTCTAGCCATGGGCAAAACTAGCCACTGTTGTCCCTCTGTCTATGAGGAAGCTCTTCATAGTGGACCCCGTGATACTTATATAACATGGCCAGCAAGCATGCATAGGGATGTCAACAGGGCCTCACAGGGCGGGGGAGTCCCTCCTCATCCCCGTCCCTATCCCCGTCTTTGTCCCTGCCAGGATTTTTGACGGGGGGCAAATTTTGCCCCCCATCCCCATTCCTTGCCAATTAATACCAAAGTATATATTGTTTACATCAAACATAAATAAAAATTAATTTAATATAAATAATTAAATCAACAAAAAGGGAAAATTGAAGGTAAGACCGTGAGAGTGAGTAAGGATAAATTGTAGAAGCAAGAAGGGGAGGGGAAGGTCAAAGGTGAGGTGAGAGTTTGATTGTCCGACCGAGATCGAGAGTGAGTGAGGGGCTGAAGTGAGGGCTGTGGCTACACTGTTGTGTGAGTGAGGAGAAAGGGAAATGGTAAGGTTAGGAAATTAGGGTTGGAAGGAGGATGATGGGTTGGGTTGGGTAAAATTTAATTTTTGTTAAATTGGGTTTGGGTTTTATTTTAAAGGTTAAATTAAGTTTAAAATATACATTTTTTTAATTTTTCGCGGGAATGGGGATCCTCGCGAGGCCCCATGGGGTGGGGAAACTTCCTCGCGAAATTTCACGGGGAGAAAATTCCCAAGGTGGGGAGGAATATTCCTCCCCGCCCCGTCCCTGTGACAAGGCCTCGTGGGGATCGGGGGAAATTGCCACCCCTAGGCATGCACATTATTGTTCTTCTATATAAAGGGACAAAATTACAGGTCGTCGGCAATCCCAACTCATGACACATATTTCATATGTCTTACATGCTAGTAGGTATCATTAACCAACGATGCTTGGCTCAGGACAACGATATCACAACACACATCTATATCATTTATTCCTTATTTTGGCGCAATGCCAGCCATGTACAATGGCAATAGATTGACGCTTTCCATGGCCAACAACTAAATGGGAGTAACGAACCTTCATTCGCATCGTCCCCTTCAATACACAAGGGAGTTCCTTTCTTCGCCGCATATATTTATATATTTTACGTTTAAATATCTGAATATATATTCACATGTGTTTTACTATCACTGTAGATGAATGTAAGCCCATGAATCCAAGCTCATGGGAATTATTCGAGATAAACTATGGGGGTAGTGACTTGACAAGCACGGATGGGTGAACGCTACCCATCTGGCGAAATAAGGCATTTGCATCAACGAAATTTGGTGATAGCGATGCTGTCTAACTTCGCCAAAAGGGGCTAGGTGGCAAAGCCATGGATGTAAACTTGATTCTTGGAACAATACCATTTGATGCTAACCAGAAGCTAGAAATCTCGTTAAAAACTAACCAGAGATGCTGTTTTGGTCACCATAAGTAACTTGCAGCCATATTTAATGTAAGGGTGGCTGCACAAGTTTCATGGCCTTAGCAACTGTTGAAATAGATTACTACTTGCTTGTAGAATCTTCCAAGAATCCTGCACAAACCTTGGGGACTCCACCAACAGATCACCATCAGTAACTTGCAACTATATTTAATGCAAGGGTAGCTGCACAAGTTCCATGACCTTAGAAACTGTTGAAAAAGATTACTACTTGCTTGTAGAATCTTCCAAGAATCCTGCACAGACCTTGGGGACTCCACCAAAATCTTGTGCAAGCTACTTCGTTGTTTTGCCAGCTGCACTCAAGCACCTCCCAAAAATGGAATTTCATATGGCTAGGAAAGTTACTAGAAATATTCAGTTTCTAATCCTTCGCCAGAACCAGCGAAGCTTCATTGGAACCACTGGGCAATTCATGATGCCACTGCCAAAGAACTGCTAATAGTGGCGAGAGCCACTAAGAGCTTGACAGCTTGTCCAAACCTAGCTATCAGCCACTGCATAACTTGAAAATTATAAAAATACCACTGGACATGTATATATTATTTTTCCCAAAAGAAGGACCCAGGATGTTTTCCAACTTCCTTCCCCATTTTTC